TGCGTTTTGTATTAATTCTCTATGAATATTCTGCCAATAATTATGAACATTCATATTTATATATTTGAAAACAAATGAAACAACATTTTTTAAGTTCCCAAGATGCGTTAAAACATTGTATCTTAAAATAGCTCTAAGTGCAACTTTTTCGAAAAATTTTCAAAAAATTTTAATTTGACTTATAAACATCATAAAATTATCAATAACAATTGGTCCGATGTAATATTTTAGAATGTTATAGGAATCATGTCGTTAAACATTTTCTCATTAATACACAACATCGATTTTCTTAGTAAAAAAATGAGTATTTGTATTACCCATTTACCCGATTATTTTCGCGGATCATCAAGTGAGTCGATACTTTTTTTAGGGGAGTGTATATTCAGCTAGTGTTTGTTCTTTATTACCCCAACACACTGTGGGGGTATCATCATTCCAGGCATTAAAAAGCTGTTGCTTGTTTGTATTTCACAAAAGACTGTCATTGTACATCAAATTTCCCATATCACCAAACGTTCTATCAATTCCATTTTGGTAGTAAATATTAAGTGGTTTTATGCCTCTCAATCGAGATTATCAGTATTTTTTCGCCATACTATTACTATATATGTTATAATCAAAAACGGCCCCTATCCTTGAACAATTTTTGGCCCTGAAAATTATTTGTAGTACAAATGTCCGCATTAGGTGGTTTTGTTATAAATATTTTCTATTACTGTGTATACTTTTATTTTGAATTTTTCAAAATGGTTCCAGTCGAAGAAACAAACAAACAAAATTTCATTAGACCACGTCAAGATTGTCCTCATGTTATCAAACATGAAAATATTTCTAATACTTGGAATGATCCAGTTGATGGTAATGATAATGATGATAAATAAAATGATAATGGTGATTGATAATGATGATAATTTTTTGCTGATGGTAAAATCTTTTTTTAATTAAAAAAAAAAAAAAAGCTTCCAAACCTTGTGCTAAGTGTAATGACACAAAAGAATATTGGCTTTGTTTGAAATGCCAACAAGTATTTTGTAGTAGGTAAGAAAGAGTTGCTGCTTTTTTGAAAGTTAATGAAATTAATGGCGAATGATTTATTGGTTGGTAAAGAAGACAATATGATGATGATGGCAATGACTTATTTCAAATAATTAATTATATTAATTATTATATTATATATATAGATACATTAGTGCTCACATGAGTGAACATAATCAAGAAACATCTCATCCATTAGCCATCTCTTTTAGTGATATGTCTGTATGGTGTTATGAATGTGATTATTATATAGATAGTCCAGTAAGTAGTTCTTTAATTGACCAATCAATAATTATACACACACAAGAAAAGGTTTAAAGATTTCCAATTTCTATCCCAATAGAATCTCAAACAAATCATTACAGCATGTTATGTCTCTAAATTTGGTGAATTGCCACCAAATTCTAGTGGTATACAAATCTTGTCTGAAAAAGTTGGCAATGATAGTGGTGCAACCTCTTCATCTTAAATATTTAGAAATTTGAGTGTGGAATTCTATAAAAAGTCATTCATTATTTGATAATAAAATATGGTTACTAGTAAAAAAAATATTGTTGCATTGGTGTTATATAGTTGACTTTGTATTCAAAAATTTCAATATTAGTCTCTTGATCATTTAAACAAAATTTGCACCATACTTTTCCATTTCTCACCAAAAAAAAACTTCCTCTTTTTTTTTATAGGATTAGCCCAGCAAAATACCCAGATATGATACACAAATTCATATTAATAAAATATTCACAAGTTATTGCAGCAAAACCAGACAAAGTGAACAATTATATCAATAAAGGTTTCTGCCAATATAATGACATTTTTATTACAATTATCCAATATATTATTCCATATAGTACCAATTGATTATCTGCAAACAATGTCATAATTATCCATAAAAATTAAGCCTTCAAAACAAAAATTCACAAATATATTGTGCATTCAATTGTTTGAAATAAGTAAATAATACAAAACAATGAGAGAAAATTTGGCAGTGTTGAAAAATAAATCCTTGATATTTTTGTTAAATTTCGATCCTTCTTTCCCATGTATGACGAAAGTTCCATTGCCTTGCTTGGTTCTTGAATAATGTCCCGCAACGAATAACAGTTTATAGTAAAGGCGTGACTATCAATATATGTGATGATTAAATTTCTAAAAAGATTCCTTTTAGAAATTCTTTAGAATAAATTTGTATTTTAAGTAGTTTTATTTTTTATGGATTGTAAATGATTATTTTAATATTAATCTCAAAAAATAAGCCATTTAACCAATTGACCATTTGGACATAAAAAATCAAAAAAGAATTGTAAAATAATCAAAAAATAAAGCCTCTTAACCAATTGACCATTAGACATAAAAGAATTGTAAATAGAAAAAATAATCATTTAATACAGTAGATCCATTTAACCAATTGACCATTTGGAAATAAAAGAATAAAATAACAGATCAAAAAAGAAATCCTTTTGACCAATTAATGGCCAATTGAAAAAGAATTGTATTATTATTATCTTCCTCTGTTGTCATTTCTCACAGATAAATCATTTTGTCTTTCCTATATAATAATACAAAATATTCATAATAGATAAACAGAAAATATAATTCATAAAATACATACATGAATTGAATATTCACATCTAATCTTTTAATAGTATGGTCATTATCTAAATTATTACAGTTATTATCAAAATATTTTTGAACGTTTCCTGGTGCAGATTAAGGTTTCTGGTCCAAATTGTTTTCTCAAAGCCTAAATTAGTTTGGGCAATTTGGGCTTCTCAACATTTTTTACAAGCATAAACATTAAAAAAAAATCATATGCAAATCTTTTCAAATCAATTTTTTTGCCAAGTTCCTTAAAAAATAGAAGCACTTTGATTATATGAATCAACTTGTTTTAAACAACTTTTAAAATAATTTCGCCCAATTTTGGCTAATAACAAAAAGTAGTTTGGGCTTATAAAAAAATAATTTTGTCCAAAGTATTTGGGCAATTTTGGCTACTAATAGAAGTAGTTTTGGCCAGAAACCTTCCTGAGTTTTGATTCAAACGAACCTCAATACTACTATTCATTAGCATATCGTCAATTTGTCTGATTCATATTAATAAAAACAATAATTATTATAATCACCAAAGTAGTCAGTGACAATATCATTATCATCACTATCATCCCATATAAACTAACTGTCAGTTAAGTGCTTGTCAACAAAATGAACTGTTGATAAAATGATTGTTGACAAAGTGATTGTTGACAAAGCGAACACAACCCAATTCCTAAACTAGAGTTTAATTGATGTTTAATTTCTGGATTATTTTCAGCTATTTTACAAATATCTGCCATTTAATTACAATCATTTAATATTTTTTATAATTGTAACCCTTTTTTTTTTGCATTAAATCCAATACTTTGCAAGCCAGGATTTAGAACAGGCATTATCCTCTCAATAGGATTTTCCAAAATGATCTGAGGGTGTACTAATTAATCTAAATCAAGTAACAAGAATAATATCATTAAAGATATTTGTACTTTGTATGATTTTTAAGGGTTAATTTTAAAAAAAAAAAGATTTTACAGTAGTGTTTAATTTCAATTGTGCATTTATTTTTCACTTAAAGCAAAATGGTTTGTGAAAAAGGCAACGATCATGGAGCTTTGGTAAAATGCTATGTTTTATTTTGTTTTATAAGCAAAGTTAGGACTAATGTTGGGTTGTTAACAATGATTAGTTGCTTTAGTGAGATGAGTAAGCAAAGGGTGGTGCTATTGTATTTATAAACAATAAGGCTTTTAAACAAGCTGCTTAAGTTGCTCTGCAAATAACCAAAACGAGTTTACATTGGCCAACTGAAATAAATTTGTTACGAGTGAATAATAAAAGGAACTTTATAGAAGCCTTTGTGCACTGTAAAAAGACCACTGTCATTTATTAGTTGTCTGATGTCATTAAACGTGCTTACAGATTCGTCAAGGCTTTCTAGGTACAAAAAAGAACAAAGTAAATTTGTAAACTAATTGTGAACAGCTTGCAATTAACTGGTAAGAGTTAGCGCAAAAGTTAAGCCATAATCAGCTACATTCCAATACTACACTTTAGCAAGAATAAAAAAGTTTATTGTTATTATAATTTAGCTTTAACTAAAGATAAAAAAACGAAATAAAAAAATAAATAACTATAATGAATAGTGTAAATTATTTACTAGAATTTAATAAAAAATCTTATTAGTAAGTAGCAATTTCCAACGAATTAATAACGAAATTTTTATCCTAATCATTTAAGAGAAAAGAGTTAAAATCAAGGTTATTTAATGAACTATCATATGCATTTGGGTGTGATTTATGAAGTTGCTGCGAATTACTGCAATCATCACTGTTGCTGTCATCATTATTAAAATCAATTTCATTTAAAAAATTTGAATAATCTTTTTATTAAACTATTATTTTTTAAGCTTTTATTTTTAAAAAAATTCTTCATGTTTATCTTCAGAAAAGTCCAAAAGCTCTCATAGTTGGTCTTTTTGATGGATCCACATCCCAACACTTCTTCATCATTTGTACATAATCATCAGGTATTCATGGCAATATTGGTGGTCGTAAACCTTCACATATATCAAAAATTAAGTGATGATTATGAACTTTATCATCAAATGGTGGATGGCATGCAAATATTCCCACATTAACATCCTAACACTGTAAATATCTGTTTCTTTGCATTATCTGTGCCTCTAAGTAGTTCAGGTGCAACATATGACACAATTCCATGTATTTTATTTGATGAATTTTCATCAAATGGTCCACAATGGTGATTAACCGGTTAAAAAAATATCTTAACCACGGTTAACCATGGTTAAACGGTTAACGGTGCCAACCCCTAAAAATAATCAAACCAGAACTCAAACGCTCTAAATTCATACGGTTTGACAAACTCTTCAATTTAGTCCCAACAGCATCCTTATTGGAAGCAATGCATTGGGAAATATTGTTGGGAACTTAAAGGACAAAAACCTATTGAACATGCGTTGAGAGCAACTTTTTGTAAAATTTTCATTTTATTAATTAAAAAGTCAATTCGTATTAATATAAAATTAAAAAATTAAACAAAAAAAAATTTTTAAATTGGAAAAAGTCAATTCGTATTAATATAAAAATTAAATTTTTCAAATGAAAAATATTATTTAAGTTATATTACAGCCGCCGGAATCACCATCACAAACACGTACGCTTGCTTGTCGAGAGGCTTCATCATTTAATCTTCTTATTTCTGCTTCCATTGCTCTTTTTTGTTCTTCCTCTGCCCTTCTTTGTTGTTCCTTCTCTTCTCGAAATTTTCTATTTGCTTCATCCAATTTTCTTTTGGCTTCTCTTTGCATTTCTTCATTTAACTTTCTCATTTTAATTTCCGCTTCTTCTCTTTGTTTTGCCATTGCTTCTTTTTGCCTTGCCACTCTCTCTTGTTGTATCTTCAGATCTTCTTCAATGCTAACTACAAGTTTTTCTAATTTTTCTTTGTCAGTCATATAATTTCTAATTCTTTCATTTAATTGGCCTAAATTATCTGGTTTGTAAACTTCTCTACAAGCACTTAAATGCAATAGAATTCTTTTTCTAGATTCTTCCCTGATTATTTTGTTGGTTTCTTTAGCACGACCAACTAATGGTGGATTATCTATATGTATAACCTTTCTACATGCTCTAATTACTGTTGAAAGATCTTGGTTTTCATTAATCATTTGTCGTTTATCATTTTCACACTCGTCAGCATCTTCAAATTCAGGAAAATTAGTTCGTACAATGGTAGTATAATTGACAACATTATAGTCAAAAATAAACGTCCATTTCTTCTTTGGTAAATCTTCCACTTGTGACAAATAGTATTTGACTTAACCCGTTTTTGATAGAATGAAAAGCTTCTGCCAGTTTATAAAGAACTTCTTGTTGAGTTAATCTTGTATCACCAAGACCAACTGTATCAATGAGTTTAAACAACATCCCATCAATTAAAAAATCTCGAACATTGGCATCTCTAGTTTCACTGGTAGAACCCGAACTTTCTTTAAATTCGTTTGTATTGCTTATTACGTTCGCTACGGTGGATTTTCCGCTTCCTGTTCTACCAATTAATAATATTGTTTGATTTTGCATTTTTGATTCTTTCGTAAAAAAATAATTTGTAAATAATCGATCGCTATATTTATATCTCTCGTTATCAGTAATATCAATCACTAATTATTGTTATCCATTTTTATGTTAAAATGGTACGGTAACAAATATGTTTGCATTAACTATTCATGTCGCGAAAATCTTTACAAATTAAGAAATAATAGAATATTTACTGTAATAGAATACAATAACGATAGAAATACTTGCACCCTATTTATTATTTAAATTTCCAAAAACTGTAATAATAACATTGATGATGATTACTATTTATTATTAAATAAAATGAAAACAAAACAAAGATATTTATTGACTACTGTAATGATCTTTATTGTAAATAATAAATGAACACTTACGTACTACAAACTATTAACAAACCGGTTAAATCATAGATTGGTCTTGCCAAAACAACAGCAGCAAAAGATAATCTAAAATGGTACAATAACAAATTATGTTTGCATTAACTATTTATGTTGCGAAAATCTTTACAAATTAAGAAATAATAGAATATTTACTGTAATAGAATACAATAACGATAAAAATACTTATTATTTAAATTTCCAAAAACTGTAATAATAACATTGA